GTAGTAGTAGGAGTAGGTAGGTAGTAGTAGTAGTAGTAGTAGAAGTAGTAGTAGTAGTAGTAGTAGTAGTAGCAGTAGTAGTAGTAGTAGTAGTAGTAGTCGTAGTAGTAGTAGTAGTAGTAGTAGTAGGAGTAGTGTTTACGGAAAGTACGAGTAGTACGAATAGTAGACGCAGCTGTAGGAGTAGGAATAGTAGGCGTAGTAGGACCACGCGCGCCCATGTTGTCACCTTGAGTTATCAGGCACTTTTGCTGTACTTTGCACGGTTCTGGTCTTTGTTCGGAGGGAGGGGTCGAGGTGGGGTGGGGATGGCCTGGGCCATATAAAGACCGAAAAGCCTAGTCCCTCAATCCTAACCCTAAACATCAACCCCTAAATTTGTGCGTCTAAGGATCCACGCGCAAAAACTAGTGCGTGTAGTGACATGCGGTGTCGAAACTAGTGGTAGGGCGAGTGGGTGAGTCAGTGAGTGAGTGAGTGACTGAGTGAGTGGGTGAGTGGATGGGCTGGGACTGCTGGCCACATAGCGATACTAATGACCGGTCTGCCTACGACGGTCATCAAGCCATCGTTGCCCGGAGAACTAAGGCCTCCAGAACCACCACGCCGAGGCCCCTCGCTGGGACCTGTCGCGGCTGCGCGACTTGCAACGCTGCCTCCGTCTGACTTTAAGACCCCTCGCACTATCTCCCTTCGCCAACCCGTCGCGAGAGCCTCGACACATCCTATGGCAGCATTTGTAGAGGCAAGCGGTCGCCTGTCTTGGCCTTAGCCTTGACCCTCGGAAAACTTAACCTCCCATGCCCAAGCCTGCAATCTCCACAACCTGAAGCCTGGGCGCCTGTGTCCCAGCAGCCTGAATAGAGACCGCATTGTAGGACGCTCGCAGACCATCCGCTGAGAGCTAAGCTCGTTTAGGAAAGTCGAAAGCCCCATAAAGGTGCTCGGAAGCCGTCTAAACCAAGAACGCCCCCGAAGGATCCCAAAGGCCTCCACATCCTGAGAGAACCCGACAGAACAATTCGACTGCGACAGAACCGGCGAACCTCCACGACTCGAAGAGCCGAGTGGCTCTCGGCCCGCGGAAGCGCGAGGCCTTGGAGCGGAGCCCTAAGCCGCCATGCATCGCCTTCTCGCATCGCCTTCTCGCATTCTATTCTCTATTTTCTCTACAGAAAGACGAGCGCCTCGAACAACATTGCAACGCCGACGGACATTGAGAAGTGTTGGGGAAACTGCAGTGTCTTCTCTTGTGCTGCCTTGAGCTGAGGCTTGGATGCTAGCCAGGCCAGCTAGGTGGCCATAATCGGCTGTCAATCCTCAAAACAAGGTTTGACAGGTTTACTTGTGGTGCTTGGAGAAGATTGAGCTGATCTGTCCGTAGGAAAGGCCTGAGCAATATTTGGGCTCTACGTTCACAAAGAAGTCTAAAGGAAAGGAAGTCATGCTAAACCCGCTTCGGAACAACTCATGCTCTGTTCATGTGTTTCCGTGTTCTTTGGGAGCGCATTGTGGCATGGGGTCTCGCATGTTTGGAGGATGCACTAAGGCATCTTCATGCAAGCATCACATCTTTAGGGTTGTAAAAGGGTTGGAGGTCAGGAGCCAAGGTTTTGAAAGCTCAGTCTACTTTTGAGTTCGCACAGCATATCATGACTAGAGCCGGCATTGCGAATCCCAAATCTGCAGAACTTCGGAAACATGACCTCTATCATCAAAGAGCGCCGTGAGAAAGAGTCGAATTCCAGTTCTCCTTCGGGCATCAGAGTTCACACGAGTTCGAAGCCTTGGACCGAGACCCTAAGTGTCCTTTTGCTGGCGGCGCTTGCTGACACATGATTCACACGTGCCCCTTGCGCAGCTTTTGTACGCCGATCTGCCTATGCTTCCCCCACGGGCAGATCCATGCGTGGGCAGGGGGGCCGCTTGCGCAAAGCAAGCCACTGCATATGGTACACGTAAAGCCGTAAAGCGACAGCCGGCTGAAAGCCCAGCTCCGGCCGCTCTGCGAGGCTCAGAGGCCCCGGCGGCGCACGACCCTCTTGGGCTCCGGGCTGCTCGGCGGCCCGCCCGGGCTGCTTATCGGGGATTCGGCTGGAGGCATGGACACGGCGGGAGGCTCTTTCGGGGAGGCCGCCGGCGTCACGGGCGGCGATGCTGGCGTGGACTGGGGCAACTTGGTCGTGCCCTCCTCGCCCTCGCCGTCCTCGTTGAAGAACTTGTTGACAGCCTGCAGGGGTCAGAAGTCTAACCGCTCTTTCCAAGCTTGCAACACGCAGCTTTTGGATAACAGTTTTGCGAAGATATGCGAAGATTCGGTCTTGTCGACTACGGACAGGCCTTCGTGCCCTCGCTGACGGCGTGCTTTGCCAACTCACCAGGAAGGAGAAGCCTTCAACGGGACTTCTGCTTGACAGCCTCTATTTCACTCTATTTCGGGGAGTGCGATTGGCGCGGAGTCCTGACGAACGTCGATCTACAGTGCGGGATGTGTCAAGCACTGCCAAACAGGATATCAGGCAACACACAGGACTGGACACAACCGATCAAGAGAAATCGTCTGTTGGGGAATAGCCCCAAACCCCATCAAACCCGTAGAATCCCACATCCTGAGTCCAGAATCAGAGTGCTGAACCCCACGTGTCCCGTGCTGCCTCACACAAGTCTGGACCTCTCTACCAGACAGCGTCCTTCTCGACATAGATCTGAGAAGCCGATTGGACTGGCACAGGGCACAGCTGTTTCTTATCTTGGGTTTTGGGGCATGCTTTCTATGCATCAAGCCTCAAGCGTTGGACTGGAAGCTTCTGGGTGTTCTTTGGGATTCACTCTACGAAACGTTAATGCAACCATGGTTGCGACTATGACTTGAGTACTGCACGGCCCGGACCTGCCTCCGTCGCAACGCGGTCAAAGATATCCTTGTTGCTTCTTGAGCTTGCGCAGGGCTTGCGGTCATTGGGGAGTGATGTGGCTTTCAGCTCCATATACGGTTTCGGGTTTGTTTAAGGTCACAGGTGCGAGAGATGGGTTTAACAGCAACTCCATTCCGCACAGTAGTTTGTAGTTACCTACGAGATTTCGATACTTGTAGTCAGACTCCTGGACTAGATGCTAAGAATGCTTGCTTCGCGAGAACGACCTCGAAGCTGCTCCGCTCGGTGCATCTGCTCAGGGTCTTGAAGGGTCCCCGAACCGCAGACTTCAACAACAGGTAAAAGCCAGGGATTCGCGAGCCCTGGCGCCGTGACTCCCTCATCAGGTGCAAACTATCGAGAGAACCTGGACCTCTGCCGTGTGCTACGGTCGCGCAACAGCCCACAACCAGCCTCTGCCTTGGTTCTTCTCTCACACCTGCAGCCCCGGAACCATGGAGCCTGAACCAGAATAGCCCAGCGTCGCTCATGAAGCTATTCATGATGTTCATGCCGCGCTTGCCTCGGTATGATCCCACTGATGTCCTGAGCGAGGACTTGCAAAGCACTGAGTCGCTGAGGCGCTGGCTAATGCCCAGTTCTGGGTGCACCTGCTTCAACACCTGGGCTGTGAACCCGATGACCCGCCACTGAGGATCGCGGCATGACGGAAGCATGCGTGCCTTGTAAATGAAGCTGCTGTAGGTAGGCATGCCCTTGTGCTTCCTTTTCCTGCGGACGCGTGACAATGCTGTCATGGGACCACAGAGGCCTCTGACCGTGCCACAGTCGGCAACCTAGACTACCCCAGCTGAAACTAAACATGAGCGGCAGCTTCGGTCCTCCTTTTGACGATCAGCTCGCCCTCTCCGGGCTCACCAGCTGGAGTTGCCTTCAATGCGATGAGAGATCGGCTGGCATGGAGACTCGATTTCAATCTTCACCCCTTGATCAGGAGCCCGAAAAACCAGGGGAACCTGCCTTGGCCTTCTTCTTGGTCATCCGCCGGCTCTTGCCACCAATCTGGCCGACATCGCACCAAGCACACAGTGATCATCATCATCATCATGATCATCAAAAAAGCATCAGCCTGCGTGGCTGCTCCGTCGTTGTTTGAAACAGCTTGGTAGGCATAGGGGCAAGAGCTGCGAGGTTTCGGGTCCAGGAGCTCCTCCTTCTTCGTACGGGCCCTAAGGACTACATCCCTCTCGGGAACAGAGGGCACACCAGCCTGCCTGCCCTCATCTCTTTAGTTCTTGCATTACTTCTCTCTGTCCGTTGTCCTTGCTTTGTTACATGATGGGTAAGCCGCTACCCCACCCCCCGGCTGAAGTTTGATTTGAGGCCGTCGCTCATCAGGTGAAACCGACACTGCAACCGCCCAAGGGCCTTGCCCTTCTTCGCCTTCCGCCCGCGCGGCGTTGACATCTTGTTCTTGTTCTTTTTCTTGTCTGGCTTCTTGTCATCCTTGCCGCCGGCTGCCTTGTCCGGTACCGGTGACTTGGTCCCCGGTTTACCACCTGAGAGGAACAGGTGTGAGTGGACGGGCAAACTCGATGAGAACTATCGCCAAAAGCTACGGACAGCAGTGAGTTTAGATACAAAGTATCTTCAGACCTCAAGCAGCAAGCAGCTGATATCCTGAAAACCTGCGAACAGGAGACCTGCCCCTCCCCCCCACAAAGCATGAGCTCGATGGGCCCAGCAGGCCTTCATCTTTCTTTGAGCCATCTGACTTCCCGCCCTCCTGCCCTTTCTTGCCACCAGGCTGTTTTGGCAGCTTCACCGGCTTTGCCTTGGGGCTTTCGTTCGTAGCAGACGAGTCAGGCTTTAGAGAAGCCATCCTCCTTTCGAGACCGACATGCACCACGCAACCAAAGCAATGCAGCACCCGAAACAACGGCGGGCTCTCCCAGGTAATTCCCCGAAATACGCACTTTTCTGGATATAAAGACATATGCACTCCAGGGTGTACCCAGCAAGAGGGACGTGGTCTAGCCTTTTCTTCAAACTGTATCATCGGCTGTTTTTCGCATTGGGAAATTGTTGCTGCTGCTATGACCATGACCTCGAGGAGGTGGCTGATGATGATGATGAGGAGGAGGATGATGAGGATGATGAGGATGATGAGGATGAAGATGATGATAATAATATTCCGGATGCTGATGCTGATGATGATGACGACGATGACGATAATGATGACGATGAAGATGACGATGATTATGACGATGATGAAGATGATGATGATGATGATGATGATGACGACGATGATGAAGATGATGATGGTGATGATGATGATGGTGATGACGATGACGATGATGACGATGATGATGATGATGATCATCATCATGATGATGAAGAAGAAGATGAAGATGGTGATGATGATGATGATGATGATGATGGCGTTGATGATGTCGATGATGATGACGATGATGGCGAGGATGGCGATGATGATGATGATGATGATGATGATGAAGAGGATGAGGATGA